TTGTGCGAAAACTATTGCACCTACAGCGCCCACTTTTGGCACACTTTTAAAGTATGACAAAACCCTCAACTTGTCATAGGTTTTATAAAATTTTAACAATAAATGCGATAGTTATAAACAAATGAAGAAATGGGCACTTTTCTTGTTTTTTTGCAATAACTTTTTTGTTTATTAACCGATTTTAATTTAACCAGTCTCATTTTGTAGATAATTTTACTCCCTATAAGCTGTCTGAGAGTCACTTTTCGCTAAAATTGATGGTTTTCCCTGCAAAGTGAAAAAACTGTTTTCCTCACTTATTTGTTTAAATAGAAAAGTTAGCTAATAAAAGTTTTTGACTCACGAGACGAGAGACGTCTTGTATTATGTTCCTTTAGACAATTTTACAATAATCTCGCGGATAGGACTTTTTTCGAGTTTCTCTTTTATGTTCGCCAATTTTCCTGGTGTATAATATAGGTACAAACAAATGAAAATCAGATAACTGAAAACTGCAAATCCTAATATAAGCCTGCTATGATGTATAGGTGTAAATTTAAATTAAAATGTTTTAGCAATTTTGTTCATATTATTGGATTTAAAACGGCAATTTTGCATGTTTGTAAAAATAATTAATTCGCCTAATCCTTTCAGATACATCCTTACCTGACACTCTACGCTGCAGTACATAGCCATCATACAACCGCAAACGTATTCGGCCACTTTCTCACATATACAAGACCTATTCGAGAACACCGTTTCATCGTACTCCACCTAAAAAAATTTTTTTATAAGACTTTTACAAAAAACAAAGCGACAATTCCTCTTTGTCACGTCAATGGAAAATTCTGGGTTAGTACAAGGAAAAGCACAGTTCATGCAAGGGTTAACTGGATTAAAAGCAAATATTGTACCTGTATGGGGGGACTGGAGATTCCACTGTCTGCGGGTGAAGGCGCCTAAAAATTACAACAAGCCACACTTACTTATAAAGTCGCAAATCTCTTGGTGACATTATAACATAAACATAAATTTCAATAAATTGAAAAAAGTGCTTCGAAATGTTCGTTCGTAAGTGAAGCAAAGATTTTATTAATGTACGGAATCGGAGGGAAACCAATTTGAACATTTAATAAAATAATGCCTAAATATGAATTAATGGACAAATCAGGGACTTTCCTCCATTCTAACGCAGATTTTCTATAAAATGGAATTAGTTTGAAACTGAAATTACTTTTTGGTGTAAAGAAATTTGTAATTTACCTTGTAAATTAAAGAGATTAATTTTATTCTAAATGTAAATAGTGGAGTCAAGATAGATTTCGACTTCGCGAAAATTACTGGAAGAGAGAACTTTTTATTTTTCGCTTTGTAAAGTTGTCAGAAACAACATATAAAATGTTACCAACTGTAGAGTGTACGCTAAATTATTTATTTAACAAATTAGTTGCAAAATTACAGTTTTTGCAAAATATATAAAAAAAT